TAGTCACATCTGTTTATGACTGCCATCTGTCCCCCTACAATAGTCAAGGAGATGAGAGCTCTTAGGTTAGTTTCCAAGAACTAACTCTTTCAAATGCTAATGAAGAAAATATATCCACACTGAACAGGTGCATCATATTATGGTAGAACAGACTATTTTGCCAAGGATTCCTGAGCCACGTAGTTGTCACCTATCACCCTCTCCTGTGATAAGTTAGGACTCACCTCAGTTAGTTTTCCTAATTCTTCCCTATAGGAAGAGATATCCTGGAGTTCCTGATCATAGCGGGAGATGATGTTATACCTTCATGAATTAAGAACATTTGAGAAGGAATGGTAAAGACCTGGGCTTTAGTAGCTAGGCTGAGGCTTAGCTTCTAAACACACACACAAACATACACATACACGCCCTTCAGACCCAGATCCTGTGTGGGAGAAAAATAAATAAAATCTCTGAGCTAAGTTTAGAACATGGTTGACAAGTAAATTTTAGGGAACCATTATTAATTTTTTTAGATAAAATAATGTCATTTAGATAACGTTCTCAAAAGTATCTCAAATTCCCCTTTGTTGAGAATTATTATTCTAGAGTTTACAAAACTCTATCATGCTTCATTTGTTAGCTAACATATTTTGCCCTCTAGTCGCTATTTCGCAATGTTTGGAGACATTTTGAGTTGCAGCAAATGGGGAGGGGACCAGTGCTACTGACGTTTAACAAGAAGTCAGAAATCTTGCTAGACATCTGCCATTCAAAGGATGCTCTCCACAGCAAAGCATTATTTGACCAAAAATTTAGATAGTGCCAAGGCTAAGAGAGTGGCTAGAGAAATAATGTATCCAAGCAATTATTGGCAATGGCTGCCAACATCACAGTAAGAAAGTCTGTTCTAAGAAAAATATATAATGATATCTATGAAGTTATCTTGACTTCCTCAACAAAAATGAACTCCAATATGGTAAAGCACCTAAATCTAACTACCAGAGTACAGGAAATGTAAGAGACAGAGAAAAGGGTTAAATGATAACTGGCAGATGCAATCAGAAAAATCCAGCCTCTGGAAAAATCTGCAGGAAAAATTACACAGTTTCTTAATAAACATATTTCAAGAAAACAAAAGAAACAAGAAAGAGGGTCCTTTTAATTTTAAATAGAATTAAGAGACACATTAACCAATAGAATCTATGGATCTTATTTCTATCCTGTTATGCTTAGATACATTATTGTTCTGTTACAATAACTTTAAAATATACTTAAAAATTCTAGTTAGAGAGTTTAAAACTTGATTTTTCAGGAAGTACTATCCTGTTTTTGGATGAAATAATGAAATTGAGGTAATAGGTTTAAAAAAAACATCTATTTTAGAAAAAATAATGAAGTGTTTAAAGAAGGACTGATACATCTATAATAATCTAAAAGGGAAGCTTGGTAGATGAATGTAGGAAATAAGTTTGGCATAAGTTTATACAAGTTTTACTTGAGTGATAGTACAGGGTGGTTTATATGCTATTTTCTATAATATTTTAAATATTTGAAATATTTTTAACAAAAGTCGCCTGTCGTTTTTTAACAAAATGTCATCAGATTCATAAAAAGCAGAATACATTTTAATACCCAAATGCAAAATAGTCTAACATCTAGAATAAGCAAGGTGTCCTTAAATATGATAA